GTTCCCACAGCTCTACCTCATTCATTATATGGATGACATCTTACTGGCAGGGCCCAAGAAAGAAAGGCTTCTTCAATCTTATGAAGTCCTCCAATCCCTTCTAAAAGGGGCAGGGCTGGTCATAGCACCCGAAAAGGTGCAGTTTCAACACCCTTACAATTATTTGGGATACATCATTAATAACATAGGAATCTTTCCCCAGAGACCCCAGTTCCAGATAAATCAGCTCAAAACTTTACATCAGTGGCAGACATTCCTCGGAGAAATACAGTGGCTGTGCCCATCTTTTCATATTCCAACTGGAGAGCTCAAACCCCTGTATGACCTCTTGCGAGGAGATCCTTCTCTTACGTCGTGTAGAGTACCTACACCAGAAGCCTTACGAGCACTGAAACTAATAGAAGAGGCTCTGCAGGACATGCAGATTACACAGATAGATTATTCTCTGCCCTTGTCATTTATAGTTCTACCTTCTAAAATTACTCCCACAGGAGTGTTCTGGCAAACGGGTCCCATTTATTGGGTCCACTTGCCGGCTTCTAACCCCCGGGTATTGACTCCCTTTTATGAGCTAGTTATTAACTTAATTTGGAAGGCTAAATATTTGGGTGATGCATTGTTTGGAAAAACCTTTGACATACTTATTCAACCTTACACTCAAGATATGATACACAAGTTACAACAAGAACATGACCTTTGGTGTCTTTTCCTGTGCAACTTCAAGGGTCAGATTGATAATCACTTCCCTAAACATAGACTTTTGGAGGGCTTTAAAAGGTGTCCCATTATCTTCCCAAAGATTATGAAAAGGGAACCTATTCCAAAGGCCCAAACTGTATATACAGATGGGGCCAAAAATGGATTTGCCGTCGTTTTTGATGGATCTCAAATTCTCCGACAACCTGTGTCAGGTCAGTCGGCCCAAAAGGCAGAAGTTGAAGCTTTAATCATAGCTCTCAAAGTCTATAGCTCTATTCCTCTTAATGTATATACTGACAGCTTGTATGTAGCCAATCTGGCTCTAGTCATAGAAACAGCATCATATATTGGAAAGCAATCCACCATCACAGAACAACTACAGGTAGTTCAACTTCTCATTTGGGCTAGACGAGATCCTTTATACATTGGCCACATCCGAAGCCATTCAGGGCTCCCTGGACCTTTGTCAGAGGGCAACGCAAAAGCAGACGCTGCTACTCATGCTGTTGGCCTTTCCTGTGTGACGACCAAATATGATAAGGCCTTACAATTCCATAACAAATTTCATTTAAATGCACAGTCTTTACGCTTCCACACAGGATGTTCACGAGACCAAGCTTTACAGATTGTCTCATTATGTCCAACCTGTGCACCATTTATTCATTCTCCTTCCCTTGGAGTTAATCCAAGAGGACTACAACCTAATGATGTCTAGCAAAGTGATGTTACACACTTCCCTAGCTTTGGTAAGCTCTCCTTTATACATGTTTCCACTGACACATATTCTGGCTTCATTTTTGCCACCTTACATACTGGAGAGAAGGCTAAGGATGTAATCAGTCATCTTCTAAAAGCCTTTTCCTCCATGGGCACCCCACGATGCCTCAAAACCGATAATGGTCCCGCATATGTAAGCCAGGCGGTTCAACGGTTTTGCACCCAATGGGAAATTAATCATAAGACTGGAATCCCTTATAATCCACAGGGACAAGCTATTGTGGAACGAGCCCATCAACATTTAAAAACTTATTTGCAAAAAACAAAAGAGGGGGAGATATACCGGAATTGCCAGGGACCACAAGCACTTCTAAGCATAACCTTATTTACTTTAAATTTTTTACTCACTGACACTGGAGGGCGCATGGCTGCACAACGCCACTTTTCTCCTCCCACTGTACAAGATGCTCAAATAAGGTGGAAAGATTTATCCACTGGAAAGTGGCAACCCCCAGCTCCACTCTTAGCTAGAGTGAGGGGAGCTCTATGTGTTTTTCCCCCAGGAACTGAGAAGCCCATTTGGATCCCGGAGCGCTGCACCAGACCGGTGAATGAAAATTCAAGACAAAATGAAGTTCCCAAGATGGCTGATCCTGCCGCTGTTGTTCTCACCCCTTCAAGTGAGTGCCGAGACACACCTCATGAGCTGGACCCCTCTTGTGGCATTCCTTCTGGACAGGTTTGCTGAAGGAGGGCTTGACCCCCCACCTGGGAATATTCATGAATATCTTTTTGGAGCCCCTTGTGAGTGTAAGGGAGGGCCCCGGCACTCGGCCCCCTCTGGTTATATCCAGAGCATTGATTGTGGGACTAAAGTAGCCTATATGGCGGCTGAACTCAATGAAAACATCGGAGGATTTAAGCAACCAAAATGGGTATGTGTTAATAAGCCCGGACTTGTTGTCCCTAATCCGACTGAGACTCTTGGAAGCTGTCCCGCCACTTGTCATTACACCCCGGCAATGCACATCTCCTGTTATACATCGGCCTCAATTTGTGTTAATAATCAAGGAAAACAGTATTTTGAGGCCATCCTAACTAACACCCGTGGAGAATGGGGGACCACTTATAATTATATTCCTTTTCTTGGTGACCGGGGAGGGGAAGGCATCACGACTCGGTTAACGGAGGCGGGATGTGAGGGCGTCGTGGGTAAACCCTCCTGCTGGCCCATGAAGGCCCCTATCGGAGTCTCTGATGGAGGGGGACCCACTGATGCTATCAAACACCTTCAGGTGATTAAGCTTTTAAAGCCGGAGATCCCTAAGCCTACATACCACCCCTTGATATTGCCCAAATCCCAGTTTCCTGATTTAGATGCCAATACATTAGATATCCTAGAAACTACCTTTTCTTTACTTAACAGTTCCAATCCTACCCTTGCTGGTGATTGCTGGCTCTGCATGACGGCAGGTGCAGTCATGCCATTGGCGGTTCCCATCAATTATACCATTGATGATGACAACACATGTCAATCTGGGCTACCCTTTAAGGTGCAGCCTCTAGGTGGTTTTATGTCATGCCTTCTGGGCATGATGCAAAATAATACCTATGATGTTGATGTTGGAATCTCTTCCTTTGGAAACTGCTCATTAGTAAAGAATTACTCCTCACCTACTCCTCCCATTTGTCCCCCTAATGGTACAGTTTTTATGTGTGGTGGAAATTTAGCTTTTCCCAGGCTCCCAGCAAATTGGACTGGTGGTTGCATTCTGGCATTACTGCTTCCTGATATCACGATTATCTCAGGAGATGAACCCCTACCCATTCCTAGCCTAGACATCTTAGTTAGAAGACACAAGAGAGCTGTGCAGGCCTTACCACTCCTTGTTGGCCTTGGAATAACAGCTGCTGTGGGTACAGGCACGGCAGGATTGGGTACGGCTATACATTCTTACTGCCACCTATCTCAACAGCTTATAGATGATGTGCAAACCCTGTAGGGAACCATTAAAGACTTACAAGACCAGATAGACTCTCTAGCAGAAGTAGTTCTTCAGAACAGGCGGGGTTTAGACTTGCTTACTGCCAATCAAGGGGGAATTTGTTTAGCCCTTGGGGAGAGGTGCTGTTTTTATGCTAACAAGTCTGGCATAGTTCGAACAAAAATTAAACAACTCCAAGAAGACCTAGAAAAAAGGAGGAGGGAATTATTTGAGAACCCTCTCTGGACTGGACTTAATGGATTTTTGCCTTATCTTCTTCCCTTATTGGGACCATTGTTAGGCCTCCTTCTAGTAGTGGCAATAGGACCCTGCATTGTAAATAAGATAGTACAATTCATTAAGGATCAAATTAATATCTTAGCCTCTAAGCCAATACAGGTTCACTATCAACGCTTGAAGATGGATGATCGCCTCTCTGAGATATACTTCAGACCTATCCGAAGATGAGTGTCCTCCTTAAAAGAAGAACTCCTGCCATATCTTTTCTCTATGCATACCTCTCCCTCTTACTTTCCTGTACTAGGATCTTTGCTGTCTAATCTCTCGGTCCAATCACATCTGCCATTCGGCGGTGACGGTCATGGGTTCCATAGGTGGAGACGGTTAAGCGTTTACCGCAATAATGTCTTGATAGGTCATAACACCTTGAGCTGATCTTGTAGTACCCAGTGACAGGCAACTTTCACGCTTGCTGTGCGACCTAAGACAGGGAATCGGGGCCTTCCCAGAGACGGGTAAGCATCGCAAGGGCTGTGAACGACCTAAGACAGGGGCTACTTGATTCCCACTGGCATGCAAAAAACAAAAGAGGGGGACTTGTTGGCAGCAGGTCCACCTTGGCCCCTGGAGCCCCTACCTCCACTAGTTTGTTCTGCATGCCAGTGTGGCCAGCTCACAAGGCCATGGCGAACTTGCAGTTTTTCTGTTCCTGCTTATCCGTCTGAGACATATGTATCCCACGGGAATGCCTTGACCTTTTCTGGTCTGATGGACTTATTGTTAAGGGAGGTTTCGGTACCTGACAATAATAGATGTTAAAACTAAATTTCTCCCCCCTCCCTCCTGCTTTTGGGTAGTTTTCCACTTCTGCTGCTTGGTGTATAAAAAAAGGTGTGTTAGCAATAAAGATTATTATTGACTCCTGGATGAAGAACCTTGGTGTCCTGTGTGTCTTTTAACCTCGCAGTCCCTCGCCGGACTCGGCTCCCTTGGCCGGACGCGGCAGCTACATAAGTGGCTGAAGCCCCCAAACAAGACAGATCAACAGTGCTCTCCTAGTCTGAACAGAAGCTTCAGGAAATTCCCTGAACAATCACTTTCAGAGCCCACTTTGGAGGAGTGAAGAAGCAAGAGTCCGATATCTTCAAGTGAAGACAGCAGCAATCAAGAAGGCGTTCTAAGTCTCCAGTCGCCGCCGCTGCCGCAGCCGCCAGACACGCAGAGCGAGAGGCAGCTTGACCGACGGCTGCCGAGCGGAGCTCAGAGAGTCGCGGAGCGGGGATCGTACTGAGCTGGATAGAGGGTGTCCTTGGTGAGCGACCAGCTTTCAGGCATTCTGTCGCCAACCCCTAGAGCACCTCTGCAACCATGACTGGGCTGCTGAAGAGGAAGTTTGACCAACTGGAGGAGGACTCCTCCTCGTTCTGCTCCTCCACCTCCTCTGACTGCGTCTCTCCTTCCTGCTCCCCAAGCTCTTCAGTCTCAGGTGAAGAGAGCCCCGGGGGTCAGATGCCCCTACCTAAACGGGACTTCTGTGGCTCCCAAAGTTTTACCCCTTGGTCCATTTTGAAGCGGGCTCCTCGGGAATGCCCATGCCATGTTGCCTTCACAGGAATCACTGTCTTTTACTTCCCACGGTGCCAGGGCTTCACCAGTGTGCCCAGCCGTGGTGGCTGTACTCTGGGCATGGCCCCTCGCCACAGCGCCTGCTGCCACTTCTCCTTGTGTGAGTTTACACAGGAACAAGCCCGGGCCCGGCGCGAGAAACTCCGTCAGCGTTTGAAAGAGGAGAAGCTGGAGATGCTGCGATGGAAGCTTTCAGCCTCTGGAGTACCTGAGGGAGAGGCAGACCTGCCACTTACATTGGATGCCATCAGTGATGCCTCTGTGGAAGAAGACTTGGCAGAGGCTGTGGCAGGCGGCCTGTTGGAAGAAGTGAACTTCCCACCATACCACCCAGCGCGGCGACGGCGTGCTTTGCTGAGGGCTGCGGGTGTGTGAAGGATCGACCGCGAGGAGAAGCGGGAACTGCAGGCGCTGCGCCAATCCCGTGAGGACTGTGGCTGTCGCTGTGATAGGGTCTGTGACCCTGAGACCTGCAGCTGCAGCTTGGCGGGTATCAAGTGCCAGATGGATCACACAGGGTTCCCTTGTGGCTGCTGTAAGGAGGGCTGTGAGAACCCCAATGGCCGTGTGGAATTTAATGAGGCGCGTGTGCAGACCCATTTCATCCACACGCTCGAGCGCCTGCAGCTGGAGCAGGGGGCCGAGAGCCTTGGAGAGCTGGAGGCCCCTGCACAGGGCAGCCCACCCAACCAAGGCGAGCAGGACATGGTGTCCTCTTTCCCGCTGGCCAACCCCCCCCCCCCCCCAGCAAGCAGTGAGCTGGGAGACAATAGCTGCAGCAGTGACATGACTAATTCTTCCATGACATCTTCCTCATCAGACGCTAGTGAGGCCCCAGACCACCCCACCCACCCAGGCCTGCCTGGTCCTGGCTTCCAGTCAAGCATTGTTGATGACAGCCTGGAGCAGATCCTGAGTTTCAGTGACTCTGACCTTGGTGTGTGTGTGGGGGGGGCGGGGGGGGCGGGGGGGGGGAGGCCATCCTCGCACGTGATTTGAGTTACCTCCCTGGCTGGGTGAGAGGCGCTTAGGCACAGCTGTGTCAGAGCTTTCCCCACCCTTCTCCAGGTCCGAGGGCTTTTCCGTGCAGAGGCATGTCTGGCCACTGCCCCAAGACCCAATTGTCACCCCTGACCTTGTGATGCTGCCCCCTTTAATCTTCATTGGATGGAATTTTCCCCAGAATTTTTTGTTCCACAATAAAAGTCCACTCACTGACGTGTTCTCTCTCTCTCTCTCTCTCTCTCTCTCTCTCTCTCTCTCTCTCTCTCTCTCGCCTCTTCAGTAAACCTTGTTACCACATTAGGTGGCTTGAGGCTGGAGCTGGGAGGAGCCATCCTGGATCTGGTTTTAAAGGTAATTAGAGTCTTGTCTCTTTAAGTGGTTTCTCACCATTTGAACCTTCTTTCATAAAGCCAGCGTGTGGGTTGCGGGCTAGAGAGGAGGAGGAAGAGGAAGGGGGTGTGGGGAACCTGGACAACCTCAGCTGCTTTTACCCAACTGACATCTTTACTGGTGACCCTGGTGGCCTGGCCAGCTGGACCCACAACTACTCTTGCTCTAGCTTTGTGCCCGGCATCCTGGATGAAAATACCATCCTGGATGCTAGCTGCTTCCTAAATGGTGGCTTTGAAGGGTTGAGAGAAAGTAGCCTCCCTGGCACCTTAGTGCCACCCAGTGTGGACATCCACCAGAGCAACTCCGTGGACCTCAGCCTATCTTTCTGTGACTCCTTCAAGCTACTCCAGTCTCTGCCAGATTATAGTTTGGGGCCTCACTATATCTCTCAGAAGGCGCCTGGCAGCCTGGACAACTTTAAGGCATCTCACGGCCCCTTGCCTGGCCTCTCTCCACTGGGGGATGGCAGCACTTGCTTCTTGGAGTCCCTCATCGGCTTCTCTGAACCAGTTGCCATTGTCTCTGCCCCCTTCATCGACAGCCAGTTTGAGGACACTGCCTCGGCCTCTCTGGTAGAGCTTGTGCAGGTGTGAGGACTAGGGTACCTTTTCCCTGCCCCAAGAGCCCTGTTGCTGCTTTTTTGTGATTTGGGGGTTCCCCAAGGTCTGTATGCAATGTTTCCTATTGGCTGGCTCAGCCACAGGTATGGGCCCTCCTGGTTTCCACGAAACACTCTGAATTTATTTATTAAATAAATAAATAAATAAATTTTGTATGCTGAAGAGAGGGGGAGGGGCTTCCCCCTTTCAGCAGCCTGGCCCCCCACACCCACACAGTGCTCTTCCACCTCCACAGCATGTGCCAGGAAGAGAAGACATGGCTCTCCTGGAGCTTCGCAGACCTCTTTTCAGTCTCTGTATAATATTCCTTAACCCAAGGACAGTGAAACGGGGCTAATCAGCCTCTTCAGGCTTCTTATGCCACTCTGAGCCCTAGACCTATGGGGTGGCTAGATCCTCTGGACTGTGAAGACTGTAATTTATTTCCATAATTTATTTGGAGACTGAAGCAGCTTTAGCTGTGCCTCTTTGGTTGCTAGGTAGTGCTGGGGACAGGGTCCCTTTTGTCCTGCATCCTGTCCTGCCTGGGCTTTGGTGTATACCAGGTGTGGATGCAAGCCCTTCGATCTCCTATTAGTTACCTGGTTCAGGGATGGCTGTGTCAGCAGGTGCTGGGCTGGCCAGTTGTGACCAAAACCCCCTTATGCCTGCCCCACCCAGCCCCTTTGCTTCCTGCCCTCTGATCAACTTTCTCCCCTCCAAAAGGCAGTGGCCTCCATTCCCAGTCCATAATGTAGGAAGGGGAGACTAGATACTCAGAAAGGGCAAAGGATTTGCCTTTGTATGAACATGACCCTGCAGGGCTTTGGGGCACTGCACTCTATCCCAGCCCACTGTGTACCCGGAGGCCATTTGCTAAGGGGTGGCCCCTTAGGGCTTTTATGCCCTTTGTTTGCTGATATTGAATTATGAATTTTGAATTTTACATTAACTTTTATATTGTCCCTCAGTGTCCGAACTATAATTTATTCATTTATCTGTGTGTCTGTGCCAAGAAAGCTAGGCTCTGGGCCTGCCCCCTTGCCTAGGCAGCCTTGCCAGCCTGTGCTGTGGGAACACATTGTACTTGAGCTGACAGGTACCAATAAAGAGGAAGAAGAGGAAGAAGAAGAAGGAGGAGGAGGAGGAGGAGGAGGAGACGAAGAAGAAGAAGAAGAAGAAGAAGAAGAAGAAGAAGGAGGAGGAGGAGGAGGAGGAGGAGGAGGAGGAGGAGGAGGAGGAGAAGAATGTAAGTTCTAGAAGAATTGCACTTGCATCTGTGGTTGCTTCTAGTTTTTCCATCTTTTTTTTTTTCTATCCAGCCCACCATAATGACCCACTTTAGGGAGGGTCTCCACTTCAGTTGTGATCCACATGCCAATCATTCCTAAACACACCCTCATTGACACACCCCAAAGTCTCTTAATCATTGGCATGTCTTAATCCTATCAAGTTGAATGAATGCTAACATTAACAAAGACTACCAAGACTGGATCAACAAGAACACCAGAACAAATCTACAACTATGACTGAGGTAAAATCAGGAATCAAACACAAAGTTAGGCTGAGGATGTAGCTCAGTGGTATGGAGTACTTGCAGGAGGCTCTCCCTGTGTTCAGTGTCCACCACTGCAGGAAAAAAATATCCCCATAAGTGAAAGTTCTGGACATAATGACTTCATCAGTGAATTCTATGAAATATTTAGGTAAGTGATTAGAGAAACTTTGCCAATTACTCTCAGTCTCATTCAAAAAATTGAAGAGGAAGGGGGGAAAGAATTGTAGAACTCTACTCCTAGTTCTACCTGCCAGTGGGTGTATAGAGAACTGTCAGAGTGTGAATTCAAGGAATATTTCAATTGTACCAATATTTCATATTTCTGCCAATAATGTACTTTGCAATTGATGCTGAAAAAGGTGAGCACAAAATAAAGTATTAAATTAGGGATTGTCCTTTATCTCTGGTTATTCCTGATTGCATTTTCACTGTTAACTCTTAAAAAAATAAAAGTAGAAAAGGATGGCAGAAAATTCAACTACTTCCTTAAAGGTGCATCAACATCTCTAACACATATTGAAAGACCTAAGCAACCTCATTCTACTTGGGACCTCATTTTTCTCTGAAACTTAACCCCTGACCTACTGCAGTCCTAAAGTCAGGAAAATACCACAGAAAAGCTCTGTGGAAACAGTTCTCAGAAAAGCCGCAGATGGTGATTGCCTAAGATAGGCCAAGATATCGAAATATTTGAAATTCTAGATGGCCCCCACCTGGGTGTGGTGATCAATATCTAAACTAGAAGCCCTGCAGCTTGGCACACCTACCCCCACCCCCCCAGATACCCTCATGGTTTAAACCAATCATTTTTAAGTGCGTCAACCCTTTGAACTAACCAATAATCCTTTCCATATTTTTTCCTGCCACTTGATATGCTAATCATGTTTTAGAGTTGTTATTTGATTTTCCCACGGTGTGTGATGATTCGCTAAGAGATGCTATGATGTATGTGGGGTCCCTGCCTTCCCCAAAGAATGTATAAAACTGCTGCAAACCCTGGGCTCGGGGCCTCTCAGCATCACCAGTTGCTGTGTGTGCATGGAGGACCAAGCTAGCTTGCAATAAACATTTTTTTGCTATTTACATCGATCTTGGTTTCTGGTGATCTTTTGAGGGTCCTAAATTCAAGCACAACAATATCTAGATTATCAGTTTCTCTGGAAAAATACTTTACTTACTGTGTTTTGTCTTCTGGAAAACTCCTTTTGAATCTGAAAAAGTGAAATGTCTCCCTGTGGTCTATCAAAGGTGTAAAATTAGGACTTTTGGAATTCACTCTAGGAAATGGAGGGAAGGGTCCAAATGTTCAGACAACTCAGATTAATCTGCATGGCTGTTTGGCCCCAGAACAATTACAGAAGTGAAATTCATTTAAGAATACTTGTAATTAACATACATTTATGATTAACAGGTAAGTGAGAACCTTGTCTGCCCACTGTGCAAAGGAGACCCCTAGAACCTGTTCCATATCCAGCAAAGACACCCACAGCACAAGGCATACTGGCATCCAGGAAACCTGCCCTTCCTTTCTCAATCTCCAAAACAAACACAGAAGTGAAAAAACTTTTTTCCATAATTTTATTTTACAAGGGCCAGAAAATTTTATGAAAATCCAAGACAGCATAAATATCTCACATGATTACTAAGCTGAAAAACTTTTAAAAAATATGAATTTATTTTTTTAGTTGTATTTAGAGAGAATACCTTTATATTATCTTTTCATATATGGTGCTGAGGATTGACCTCAGGGCCCCACACATGCTAGGTGGGAGCTCTACTGCTGAGCCACAACCCCAACCCTGAGAAAAAAAAAATTTTTTAAATACCCTTTCTTTGTAGAGGTTCTTCCATTGCAGCATGTTGGCAGAGACCTCATGGCTCTCAAGCCAAGGATGAGCAGTGAGCAGTCCAGAGCTCCCATTATTCTAAAGTCTCTGAGCATGGGTGGGAACCTCAGGCAGCATCCTGCAGACTAGGGTGGGGCTCTTGGCACTCTGGAAAGAGCATGGGCAATCTCAGGATCCCTCAGTCCATGGGGGTAGGCTGAATGCTTGTCAGCCAGGTTTTTCAAAGGCATCCTCCTCTCCTGGGGGTACATGGGGCTATTTTGGGGTCTCAATCATCCTTCCTGGACAAGCAGATGGCTGTATACCTCTTCTCATCTGGGTTCATGGAAGGGTCAGGGCGAGATGTGAAACCCACGAAGTCTAAAAAGTATTTGACGGGTGACGTCCTAGTGATCCCAAGAATGAAAGCCCAGCCTGGGATCAAAAGGCAGAAGCCAGGGCCCAGAATTGGATTCCTTGAGGGCTGGCAATGCCTGGGGCCCTGGAGCTTCATCTCCACAATCCCAGGCCTCCTCCATACATACAGCAGGGCAAAAGTTTGTCCATATTTGCAGCTTCTCAGAGGAAGAAAAGTCTTCAGAGACCCCTTGTCTGATAGTTTCTACTCTTATGATCTCCTCTTGATCTGAACCACAAGGTATAAAGTTGAGGGGAGATAGGATCTCAAGGGCATATTCCTTCATAAAGTAGGATCTCCTAATCCTAAAGGCAGAGCCAATCATTTTGGATGTCAGTGTTCAGTCGAATACATTTTGTTTGTTGATATGTTCAAAAAGATTTTTGAAAATATCAGAATCCCCACTGCTCATTTTGATGGCCCATGACTGACTACCCTAGTCTCCAAGGAGAGAAAGAGAGTGTAGAAGATGAGAGAGTGAATGAGTTAGCCTTGGAGTGCTGTAGGATCAGACAAGGCATGACACTAAAAATAGCAGGAAACAGTTTTATTTGGCTGCAGCCAGGCTCAGAGGGCACAGCTTTTGCTGTAATCAATCAATCCCCTGAACCCGAGTTCTGGTAGTTTCAGAGTTTTATACCCAGCATGTAAGGGGAGGGGCTCAGAAGTTCACAGTCTGCAGAAGTTCACATAAAAGCAGCTTTTTCTTTCACTGTTTTGGGCAAGTTAACCCTTCAAGGAGAACACCTGAAAAGGGGAGAGCTTCATCTCCCCTCTCTTTTCTCCTCCTGCCTGCTGTTACCATGGAACCCAGGTGGTAACTTATCTTAAAAATGTAGACATCTCTGTGAAGCCCAGCTCAAGGTCAGAGATATTGTTTGCACATTTCTATAAACGACTATACTGGATATGTTTGTAAAAAACTAGTAAGGGGGTATCCAGCACCTGGTGTGCTGGTATCTTCCTGACCAGTGCCCAAGTAAAACAGGGCAACATGAAAATAGAAAGTTTATTTACATTGAACTCTTTTGCTGACATTCGTAAAACCAGCCATGGTGAATATTTTTGGAGAAGCCCAGTTAATACTTTTTTTGTGGAGAAATGTGGTGCCACTTCACTGGGACACAGTGGTAATGGGCCAGGGTTAAAGATTAGCATGTTTCTGGGGAGCCTGTCTCCAGGACTACATGGA